AAATCATATAATTTTATAACAATTCTACTACACTATTTAACAATATTCCTTTTTTATTATATAATAAAATAATAATTAAATATTATATGGTGAACAACAATAAGTAAAACTGTTACTTTCTCTTATATCAAGGGATAAATTTATATGCTAAAATTAAATTTTTATTAGTATAAATGTTTTAGTGAGATAATATATTAATTATTTTACAAGCTAGCTCTAACATTATCATATTTAATGTTTTAAAAGATGTAGAAAAAAAACTTATAATAACTCTATTGTTTTTTAGACTTAAACGTTGATTAAAAAAGGTAAAAATTCCTAATTTTTTAGACTTAAACGTTGATTAACACCATAGATTGAGAGTTTATATTTAGTAAAATTCCTAATTGTAATAAAAAAAATAAATTTTGCTATATTTTAAAATATCTTTAAATTCATTATAAAAAAAAAAGAAAAAAAACTATAATGAAAAAAGCAAGTCAGTTATATATCGATTTGTTGTACTTCTCAAATCACATTCACAATTTGACTACAAGGAAAGGAAACTCATTGATTAAAATATTATTTTGTCAGTAGTCTTAATGTACCAGAGACTTTAAGACTCCACTTGAATATTATAAAATTTTTATTGAACATTGTACAATTTCTTGCGTATTATAAACTTTTATTAAATATTGCATCTTATAATATAATATTCTCCAAATAAATATATCTCTTGCTTCGCACGGGTCACGTACTATATATATACCGTACATTTTTCTTTATTCATATATATAATTATAAGCCTGGATAAATAGTCTTAAAATTATGCACTTCATGCGGACTCTGTACTAGTTAAAGATTGGAAATGAATAGAATTAAATTAGCTGCCACTCTCAATCTTATCCAATTGTCACGCAGTTATTGCTCGACCCTCCACGTCACTTTTTCCAGATCTGATCGGACGGCGGATATTCCATCTTCATCAAATACTCTAGCCTGCTCGTGATACCATCCATAAATATCGTCACAAGCTTTAAACATCGCATTCAGTGCTAAATAAGACGGACTCGAACCACGCTACTCTTGCTAACGTGCGCAGGCTCCAGCCTCTGAAAAACTGTGATCCGATGAGTCTACTAGACCAGCTCTGGGACGACACGGTCGCGGGCCCCCGGCCCGACACCGGCCTCGGCAAACTCAGGAAACACTCAACCTTTAGCTTCCGGCCAAACTCCGGCAAGGGTACGCACGGTGGTAGAGCCAAATCTAATTTAATAATCATGTAGCCAAGTAAATCGATGCAAATAATTAAAGTATTCGCGCAATCTGTAATCGAGCTACGAACGAGTTGAGCTGAAATTTCCCGATTTTTCGACTTTTATTTGTTTTGTTTAAATTGAGAAATCATACGAAATGCTAAATTTATTGGGAAATTTTGGAATCTGGTTTCTGCAGAACCAGAAGTTGCGAACGGTGGGAGATCCACCGGAGAAGAAGCCGGCGGGGGTGCCGTGAGAGTGACGAGAAGCATAATGATCGTAAAACCGCCGCAAGACAACCAGAAGGACTCGCCGCCGGTTTCTCCGGCCGGATCCACTCCGCCGGTGTCCCCTTTCTCCGGTAAGCTTTTTTCAGTTCAAAGGCTTGATTGCTTTAGCTGTTCAAGTTGGTAGATACCGTAGATTCATAAGGTTCGCATACATGGCGATTGGCGGCTCAGTCTAGAGCATTCTTGGGGACATGGGCAGGGTAATATGGTCATTTTAGGTGGTTTCTTGGGGTAATTTGGTCATTCAAAATTTTGTTCTGGCTACTTATGAGTGATTGGTGGGGTCTAACTAAAAGATGATGACTAGCACTGGATTTTATGTGGAAAATCCAGTTAATAACTCATAACTGCTTTAAAAATAATTATGTGACATTTGACCTAACTTTCCTTAGATACACAAACATTTAGGGCAATTGTCTCCTTTAGACTGATTAGATAATTTGGTTTTTTTTAACTCAAAACTCCATCCAATTTTAATCCAAACTAACTCTTGTTATGAATATAATTAATAATATCAATTAATCATCAGAACCACTGTTCATCTACTCACATGTATTTATTACGTGTCATTTCCAATAATATATTTTTTACTTTTACATCAAATCAATTTTATTAATTTTTTTAGTTATTATTTAACTATAAATCCCATTCAATCAACTTCACTCCAAATAACGGACTTTAACCAATCAAATCTAATTAAAACTATTTTAATTATATTCAGTGGCCCCATATGAATTACCAATTGTTTTAGAAAAGGCTATTGTATTTATAATTATATTCGTGCCAAGGAATAGAGGAAATAGCACCTTAGAATAAGAATTTTTAATGACCCTTTGAAATCGATTGTGATCTCTATCAAATGTGTTGTTGGATAATGTGGAATTAGGTGGCGGTGGAAAGGAAGCTTTCCGGTTCCGTAGGAGGTCGGCATCGTTTGCTTACGAGAGGGCTAATGGAGTGGGACCCAAAAGTCCTCCTCCTCCGTACGACCTTTGAGCTTTGAGGACATGATCGTCTTTTCTACTTAATGTCTGTTTGGGATTTCTGTTTATTTCTGGTTCGATTGTATGAGTTTCTTTGCTAGTGTGTGTACGATTAGCTCCGTATATAGGGTGTGAAATGTAACTTTTAAGTTTATATCCAAGCATGTGTTGCGAATCCGAACTTTCAATAGTGCGTGTTTTGTATGCTATCTCTCATTCTATATAATCATATAAGTTATGTTTTTCCGAGTTGACTAAACGAAAGATGAAGTAGCAAACCAATTAGATGCTATCAACCTGGAGCCAGCCACGAATATTGTTTTGTCTTCAGATATTTCTCCGTCAAGTATTTCAAGTACCAGCAAACAAGAATAACGAGTGTATTCAGATGATGAACACATGCATAATAACTTCTTGTGTTCTGGTGGCTAGGGTTGAATTAGCTGCATTCATAACTTGTTTTATAAAAGTCTTTGAACAAACATTTAATGTGAAAATTTATCTGACGTTAAATACAAGACAAAGGGCAGGAAAGGACCGATCCAGACAAACGCATGCCTAGAAAGGTTAAAACTTTTCTCCATTGCAACACAAATACGAAAACGACCTAACAAAAACACGAACCAAGAAACACAAAGCTCAAAAGCCTTTTCACCTTCAATTAAATATGCCATCTTTATATCCCCCCAAACGGGCACAGAAACACAGGAGGAAGCCAAAGTCCATTCACACACAGCCAGTGACCGAACGAAAAAATAGTTTCACGACAAAGTTTCCACGCCACACAAATAAGTTTCAGCACACCCGACATGCCTTCTCAGGCACTCAAGAGTCTCAAACCATTACACATTGTTGCTCAAACATTCATATAACCCGGGTTCTTTTATCGGTCACAGTAATAATTAATCACAGTGTTTCTAGAAGTTTCACATCAACAAACACAAATAAAANACACACCTTTATGACCGATTTTGAGATGGCAACCTATCAGATCCATGCCTGTGGCGGAAACTGCCAGGCTGGCGAAACGGCCCCCATATCGAGTCGTGGTCCGGCTGGCCCAAAGGGAACAGTGGCTGGTTGTGTTCCCTTTCCCAATGGTGGAAAGGGTCTCGAATAGGGTTTTCGGCTTCTTGGAAGGTTCGGCTGCCGGAGGATGCACTTGATGAGAGTAGGTAAAACCCATTGGGCTGATCAACGGGTGATGATGAAGGGAGAGGGCCCAATTGGGGTATTATACCCCTATGGCCGCTCGATCTTCGGGCCGTGGATATGGCGGGGGCCCGGCCCACCGGGTTATTACCAGTGGATTGCTGAAAGTATGCTTGAAGGTTGGAGGGGCGTTCACGGGGGCGTGTGATTGCGGCCCCCGGGTAAGTCGGAAGAACTGATGAGGTGATGGAGCTTGGCGCTCGACTTGCAGAACTGTAATTATATATACATAATAAACATTAATAAGCAAGTCGCACGATCTTGTTTTTGGTCAAAGGAAACATTTTATAAGTTTTTTTTTTAGTATTATTAATTAACCAAGGTTAATTTTGAGAAGTAGGTGTGGTTAGGTTTGAGTGGACTTTTGAGGGCGTGCTTGGAAACAAATATATCTTCTCGAAAAAAAAAATAATTATTAACCAGACTTAATTTGAAAATATTGGAATGGTTAGTTGTTAGTGGGATTTTGAGTTTATATTTAAATAATATTTAAAATAAAATAATTAAAATTGATTTGATGTAGAAGTAGGAAATAGATGATATGAAGTGATGGTTAGTTAAGATTATGTGAGTGGATGAATAGTGGATTAAAATTGATGTGATGTGTAAGAGTGATTGATTTGAGGATAGTAGGATTGAATTAAAATTGAGTTAAATTTTGAATATGGATTGAGTTTTTTAATAAACAAACGTACCCTGAGTTTGTATAAAATAATATTTAAAATACAAAAATTAAAGTTAATTTAATGTAAAAGTAGAAGAGAGGTGATTAGAAGTAAAAATTATGTGAAATGATGAATAGTGAATTAAAGTTGATGTGATGTGTAAGGATGATTGATTGATACTATTTAATTATATTGATAAGATAGTGGGTTTGAGTTAGATTTGACTTGAGATTGAAATTTATTTGAAAAAAAAACATGTATCCAAGCATGCACTTATGGTTTAAGACTTTTCTCTTGACTGGCTCAGAACTTTATAAATCGTTCGGGGGGTTAAATTAGGAAAGAAGACATCGTTTGCTTGGGGTTTGATCTGTCTTACATTTCCCCAATTGATTGGGGTTTTAATATATTTTCCCTTTTAGAAAGAAATGATTCAGGAGTGATAATAACACCAACCTGTGACCAACAATGAAGGGATGCATTCCAGCTCTCGGGATATCGGAGCTATTCCTAGCAATCCGAGTGTTTGTGGTGTAAGCTGAAGTCTGGTCCCAGTTTTGATAATGTAAATCCATAGACTGGAAAGCATAAGGGCTGGGGACATCAGTTGGGCTTGGGCCCGATGGGCCATTCCAGTGGTTGTTAAAACTAGATCCATCTGAAACACTCCCACTCGATGCAGAAGAAGATGGGTGGATCGGCCCAAAATATGTAACGTAAGGGCAAGGATGGGATGTGGATGAGACGGGCGTATGTTCCGCAAAGACAGCATGTGGCCCGAGAAGATCATGATCTATGGAAAAAAAATAAAAAAATAAAAAATTATGCATATTATGAAAGAGACTTGATCTTATACTTAGTGGGATAGAAGAGGTTAACGAGTCTTACATGCACTTGATGAAAACTCTCCTTCACTGCAAAAAGAAATTAAGTGATTGTTAGCTGAACAGCTGCTAAGTGAAAGATAAGAGGAACAAGAAAGCATGGAATAGAAACATAAAATAAATATTAAATAAAAAAGGATAAGAACCTCTTACTGCAGTTGAGGCTAATCAAATAGTATACTACACCAAATACCAAGCAGCAAAAAAAG